GAGACCCCAACTCAAAAAAAAAAAAAAAAAAATACAGAATGTTTCCATTACTCCTGAAACTTCCTTCATAGTCTTTTCCATTTGGTTTCTATCCCTCTAGGCAACCACTGCTCTGATTTCTATCACTATTGCTTAGTTTTGCCTGTTTGGGACTTCGTGTAAATAGAAGTATACAGCAGGATTCTTTTGTGTCTGGCTTGTTTCTGAACATATTTTTTGGATCCATCCATATTATGTGAATCAGTAGTTCACTCTTCTTTTATTGCTAAATAATATTCTATTATATGAATATACCACAGTTTGGGGTATCCTTTTATTGTTGAAAGACAATTGGATTAATTCCTATTTGGGAAAAATATTAAAAAGCTGCTTTGAGCATTCACGTACATATGTTTTTGTGGACTTTTCACTTATCTTGGGTAAATACCTAAGCATGGAATTGCTGGGTCACAGGATAAGTGGATATTTATAAGCAACTGCTCAAAGCCACAGTACCATTTTGAGGAAACATTGGTAGGAAGATCAAGGAAAAGAGGCCCCATGTGGGAAGAGTGTAAGTAGGAAACCGTAGCAGTGTCTCGGAGTTCATCTTTCACCTCCATCAGAGACAGAAAGGAGAGAAGAGGCAGTGGGTAGGAAGTGGACAAAGATATGGTTGCAGGTTTATTTTATAGAGGAGGAGCCCTGGAAAGGTTTAACCCTTCACAACAATGCTGCGGTATAGGCAGAACATGCATTACAGTATTGTCTTTTTTGTAAATGGAAAAACGAAAGCTCTGAGAAGTGACTCAAAGGATACTCCGTTAGTTACTATCTGACCTGGGACCCAAACCCCAGTCTTCAGACAAAAGGTGTCTTGCCCCAAGTCCTAGTTCAGACACCTGTTAGTGATAGAACTTTGGATAAATTATTTAACCTTTTTGGATCTCTGTTTTCTTTAACTGTACAGTGAGTAGAATAACAGTACCTACCTCAGATATTAAGTGGCATAATTGAGATAATAGTTGATTTATGTGCTTGGCATGTAGTAGGAGTTCAATAAATATTAATTGAGTCTCAATCTAAGGTAGGTAAGAAAATCTTAGCCGGGCTCAGTGGCTCAGCCTGTAATCCCACACCTTTGGGAGGCTGAGGTGAGTGGATTGCTTGAGCCCACGGGTTCGAGACCTGCCTGGGCAACTTGGTAAGACCTCATCTCTACAATAAATCAAAAAATCAGTCGGGCATGGTAGTGCGCACCTGTAGTTCCAGCTACTTGAAAGGCTGAGGCGGAAGGATCGCCGGAGCCCAGCAGGTCGAGGCTACAGTGGCAGGGAGCGGCCACAGCACTCCAGTATGGGCGACAGAGTGAGACTCCAACTCAAAAAAAAAAAAAAAAAAAAAAAATCTTAATAAACTAGCTACTAATATATCTGGTATGATGGTGGCATGCATATCAGACTTGGGTATCACAAACATGTTCCCTCTCCTTGGTGTTGTCAAGATTCACACCTGAAAGGGAACACAGACAAGGACTCTGCTTCTTCCTAATTTTCTCCTCCTCCTTCTGACCCTCCCTCTATTATCTCATAGTTTAGGATCAATAAAATGTGCTCCTGCTCATAAAAATATTGAAGGCAAATGACTTACATAAAGAGGCAGAGAAAGATAGCAACCTAACACATTTTTTGCTAGAGTTCTTTATGAAAATAATTGCAATTTTCTCAATTGCCCTTTGAGACAGTGTATAATACCAGTACCGGGTGTTTTAGGTCACTGTTATGGGAAAAGCTTGTTGCAATAGACAGACTCCATCATTTTAGTCCAGTTGCTTCCATCTTGGTTGTGAGGTTATCAGCAGCTCCGTCTACTAACACCCCAAGTGGTTCTCGATAACTGTTTGTCAGGCTGATTTTGGCCCCTGCCTACCATCTCTCTTCCTTTTTGCTAATGTCATTTTTCAGCCTGTTCACAATATGTTGTTTAGGTCATGATACAGTGAGCTCTGGAAAAACAAGAAGTAGCCTCAGTCCTTTTTGCCATATAGATTAGTCTTATAGCCTGGCATTTTAAATACTTTCAAATCACTCCTAATAAGAAGGATCCCTTTCAATAATAGTTTTGTTGTCAGAGATGTCATTAAGACATACTACACATATTTCCTCCCACTTTCCCTTAAAGGCACATTTTCTACCTCATTTGCCCCATTTCAGTATTTATTTATTTTTTTGAGTTGGAGTCTCACTCTGTCACCCAGACTGGAGTGCAGTGGCCGCTCCCGGCCACCACAGCCTTGACCTGTGGGCCTCCAGTGATCCTTCTGCCTCAGCCTTCCAAGTAACTGGAACTACAGACTTGCGCAACCATGCCTGGCTAATTTTTGATTTATTGTAGAGATGAGGTCTCGCTAAGTTGCCCAGGTGGGTTTCGAACCTGCTGGCTCAGGCAGTCCACTCACCTCGGCCTCCCAAGGCGTGGGGTTACAAGCTGACCATTTCAGTCTTTAAGGAAATTTGCCTGAGATTCCTTGGCTCCTTAAACCTCAACAAGGACCTTTCCTAGTTCTTTCTGGAAAATTCTTCCCTATGATTCAGAACTTACCCATGCCTTAGCAATCTGACTTTGAGATTTCTTAACAGGGGATACTAATAAAAAAATCTCTGCCCTTTCACAGGGCTGTATAAGCATCAGTAGAAGATAATGTGTGAAGATAATCAGTAGAAGATAACGAAATGCTATCACATGTGTAGTTATTGTGGAACTCGTGGCTACACTCCTGCCTTCTTTTCTGACCCACTCTGACATTGACCCAATGCTAAAGAAACAATACCCATCCAACTTTTTTAGAAGGAGCTTTGTTTCCAGGGGACTTATTTTATTTATTAATAGGTCACCCTAAGAGAATTAGATATTTGCATCAGAATGTACAGCTGAAGAGCAAAGCTGCAGCCTGCAACATTTGCCCACAAGCCTTCCTGAGAGGCCTGATAATGAGCTGTGCTTCTTTCTGCAGACTGACGACAGCAATGGGGACTTGGACCCGGGAGTCTTGCTGACAGCTCAGACCATCACATCTGAGACCACAAGCAGCACCACCACAACTCAGATTACCAAGGTAACAGACCAGCTAGAACTTCTTTATGGAATCCAGTGGCCTACTGAACTTGCCGCCATCTCTCTGCAAGAAGGACCTCAGTCCACAGGCAGAGATTTTCATCTCCATCCTAGTGAGCCAAATCATTCCAAAAATCCCAGATGGAGAGTCCCTGCTGCTTTCCCCAGCAGTAAACCTAGGGAGATACTTTGAACATATCCTTGCCTACTTAGTAGTCTCTTAAAGTCATGCATAGTTGTTCTCTTGATACATCTGTCTGTCTCTCTGGTCAGTGAGACCCCTATCTGGCTATGGAAGTAAGTTTAAAGGGTCAGCCTAAGGGTAGGTATTGTTGGTATAGTTATGCAACCCTGTCTTCCAAGCCAAATATCAGAACTCTGGGTCTGATGAAGACATTTTGCATCATGTCCAAGGTCAAGGCCATAGGAACTATTGTTTGGATGCTGAAATATTGGAATTATTATAATATGGTTTATGGGAAGCAAGAGAGATAAAATATCTAAAATTGGAATGACACCCAGAAAATCAAAGACAGTCCATGTCTTCTGTACCACTAGAGGTTATTGACTAAGCTCTGTCATCAATACACAGATGACTGAAAGCCATTTACTTAATGGTCTAGACCTTGGTTTACCTTATCTATCGGAAAGGGAAACACCACCTTCACATGATTGTTTAAGGATTTTTTTTTTTTTTGAGTTGGAGTCTCACTCTGTTGCCCAGACTGGAGTGCAGTGGCACACTCCTGGCCACCGTGGCCTCGACCTGCTGGGCTCTAGTGATCCTTCCACCTCAGCCCTCCAAGTAGCCGGAACTATAGGCGTGTGCTACCATGCCCAGCTAATTTTCGATTTATTGTAGTGATGAGGTCTCACCAAGTTGCCCAGGTGGGCCTCAAACCCACAGGCTCAGGCAATCCACTCGCCTTGGCCTCCCAAAGTGCTGGGATTACAGGCTGAGCCACCGAGCTCGGCTACTTAAGGATTTTTTTATTTCAATAATATGAAAATGCTTTAAAGTAAAAGAGCTCAGGCCAGGTGCAGTGACTCACACCTGTAATCCCAGCATTTCGGGAAGCCAAGGCAGGAGGATCACTTGAAACCAGGAGTTCAATACCATCCTGGGCAACATAGTGAGAGCCCATTTCTACAAAAAAAATGAAAAAAATAGTCCAATGTGGTCTTGCATGCCTGTAATCCCAGTTACTTGGGAGGCTGAGGTGGGAATATTGTTTGAGTCCAGGAGTTCAAGGTTACAGTGATCTATGACCATGCCACTGTTCTCCAGCCTGAGTGGCAGAGTGATTCTCTTAAAAAAATAATACAAGTAAGATCCAGTGTGGTTGGATTGATCTTATTTGACACTTTGGGAGGCCAAGGCTAGAAGATTACTTGAGCCCAGGAGTTTGAGACCAGCCTGGGCAACATAGCAAGACCTCGTCTCTACGAAAAATGAAAAAAATCAGCCAGGGGTGGTGGCATGTGCCTATAGTTCCAGCTACTCAAGAGGCTGAGGCGAAAAAATTGCCTGAGCCCAGGAGATTGAGGCTGCAGTGAACCGTGATCATGCCACTACACTTCAGCCTGGGCAACAGAGTGAGACCCTGACTCAAAAATAAACACACACACATACATACACATACACACACCCACAAATAATAATAATAATAATAATAATAATAATAAGAGCTCAATTTCAAACTCTGTGGCATGTTTGTTCATAGTCTTCTAATTTTTTCCCCCCAAACAAAATATATAGGAGAAGAGCAAAGAGAAACACCTGTTTTAATTTACTTGCAGAACTTCTGTGGCGTTCAGAAGGAAGAAAGGGGGGAAAGTAAACAGAGACCTGACTTTCTCTTTAGCTTAATAAAGATTTTAGTGCTCCAAGAGAGTCGAGGTGTGTAGCAGGTCCTGTCAAGATTTTGGACAAGCTAGTGAGAAAGCTGTGCAGTACCCAGCAGCAGATTAAGACTTGGAGTGAAGCTTTGAGATGAATCTTTGTTGTTTCTTTTTCTTTCCTGTATATTGCTGGTCTCATACGACCTCCTTTCTTTGGTTCCAGACTGTAAAAGGTGGGATTTCAGAGACACGAATTGAAAAGAGAATTGTGATCACAGGAGATGCTGATATTGACCATGATCAGGTGGGAATGCTAAGGAGACTCTGGGTAGGGAGGGGTCTCTGGGTGGGAAGATTGACAGATATGGGAGTTTGCTTGCAAGGGATACCTCTGCCATCTCCATCTCCAAAAAACCTCTTGGCTACTCTAGTTCTTAATTGGGAAGGACAAGGAGAATCAAAATACAGAGGTCTGTGGGATGCAGGCTTCAGACTGAAGAAGCCAGGAAGTGTAGTGGAAAGAACATGGGCTTTAGACACAAAGACTTGAGTTCAAGTACTGGTTCTTTTTTTTTATTTTTATTTTTTGAGTTGGAGGTCTCACTCTGTCGCCTAGACTGGAGTGCAGTGGCCGCTCCCGGCCACTGCAGCCTTGACCTGCTGGGCTCCGGCGATCCTTCCGCCTCAGCCTTCCAAGTAGCTGGAACTACAGGCGCGCACTACCACGCCCGGCTGATTTTTTTATTTTATTTTATTTTTATTGTAGAGATGAGGTCTCACCAAGTTGCCCAGGCAGGTCTCGAACCCAAGGGCTCAGGCAATCCACTCACCTCAGCCTCCCAAAGGCGCGGGATTACAGGCTGAGCCACCGAGCCCGGCTTCAAGTGCTGGTTCTTAACTACATTCTACTCTTAACTCTGGGCCTCTATTTCCTCCTCTACAAGATGGGGAGTATAGTGTCTTCTCTCTAGGCTGTTATGAGGATCAGAGGAAATACTGAATGTGCAGCAGGTGGAACCTGGTGGGCTCCAAGTAAATGAAGCTGCAAGGGATACCTCTGCCATCTCCATGTCCAAAAAACCTCTTGGCTACTCTAGTTGGGAGGTAGAGTGAGTGTGTCTACACCCGTGCTACATGCCAAAACAAAAGGAAGGCACAACCCTACCCTCAAGGGCCATTATAGCTGAGGAGACGGTGAGGGGAGCATAGTGTGGTGGACAGGATAGGATGCCAGGAGATTTGAAACTCACTTTCTTTTTTTTTTTTTTGAGTTGGAGTCTCACTCTGTCACCCAGGCTGTAGTGCAGTGGCACACTCACGGCCATCCCAGCATCAACCTCCTGGACTCTGGCGGTCCTTCTGCCTCAATCTTCCAAGTAGCCAGAACTACAGATGTGCACTACCACGCCCAGCTAATTTTTTATTTGTTGTAGAGACAAGGTCTCGCCAAGGTACCCGGGCTGGTCTCGAACCCACAGACTGAGGCAATCCACTCACCTTGACCTCACAAACTGCTGGGATTACAGGCTGGGATTACACTGAGTCTGGCCTAAAACTCGCTTTCTATCCTGCATCTGCCCTAACTTGCTGTATGACCTTGGGCAAATCACCTTACCTCTGAATTTTCTTCCTCCTAAAAGAGAGCGGGTTGATCTAGATAATTTCTGGGTCCTTCTGAGTGCTAAAATTTTATGTTTTTATGTTAATTAGGTGCTAATTGTGTGCTACAAGCAATTAGCAAATAATAAGGTCAGGATTAATGTTCCCAATTCTCTGCTGGGTGAGGTTAGAACAGTAAAGCTGCAGAGAAGAGGGGGTGGAAGAGGCTGCATGCAAATGCTTCTGGAATCATTGACAGAATTGCTGGAGCAATAATTCTGTGACATTTATGCTGAGTGCCTTTTTAAAAAGAAAACCTGAGCTGCAGTGCTAGGAGGTCCCTTGGTAAAGGGCTGAGACTTAGAGCTAAGAATATCAGGCTCAGGGTCCCAGAAACAAGGCTGCAAAGCCCACGTGGGAGACTTGCAGCCTGTTTCCCAGCTCAGTGGGTCCTGCTGCATTGCAAGCCTGCACCCACACACGCAGTCTGGTGTGATCTGAGTCCCTGCTATGTGCTCAGTCTGCCCTAGACAGCAAAAGCAATGGGGTGGAAGATATTTAGGGTTTGGAGTGAGACAGACCTAGGTTGAATCCTGACTCTGCGACTCACTGGTCGCATGCCCTGAGAAACTTGCATTACTTCTCTTCTAGTTTTACATCTGTAAAATAAAGATGATCACAGGTTTCTTCCAGAGTTGTCGTAACTAAAGGACAGCACATTTGATGCTTCAGGGCCCCTCAGTTCTCCTAGGTACTGAGAGTATGGGGAGGGGATACACTGAAGTGCACTCTGACTGGAGGGAGGCATTTAAGGAGGACTGCTAAGGAGAAGCAGTGTGGTGCAGGCTTTCACGGAGGCGTGGGTGTAGGCAGAATCCCAAGGGGACCCTGAGCTGGACACCTGAAGTGCAACTGGATAGGTTGGGCACACAGGATCCAGGAGGATAAGCAGGGGCCATAGAGGTGGCATTTCCAAGAATGCCTTTCATGGAGCTAGGAGACCAGTAGAGGAATTTCCTTCTTCCCTTGTCCCTTCTGGAGATGGATTTTTGGTTTTTTTTTTTTTTTGGAGTTGGAGTCTCACTCTTGTTGCCCAGGCTGGAGTGCAGTGGCACACTCATGGCCACTGCAGCCTCGACCTGCTGGACTTAGGTGATCCTTCTGCCTCAGCCTTCCAAAAGGCTGGAACTACAGATGCACACCACCATATCCAGCTAGTTTTTGAGATTTATTGTAGAGACAGGTCTCACCAAGTTACCCAGGCTGGTCTTAAATCCCTGGGCTCAGGCAATCCTCTCGTCTTGGCCTCCCAAAGTGCTGAGCCACTGCACCTGGCCTTGGAGATGGTTCTTAAGATCCAGGGTGAACAGTCAGCTGGTCAGGCCTAGCTGGTGTCCTTTTTGATATGGGCCCTGCAGACTCAGAGACCTGCAGCCCCAGGTGACTGGTATCATTGCTCTCCTTTGACTTTCCTTTTGCTCTCCTGAGTTTTTCTAAAATAATCAGAACTCCTCCAGATGCTCCAGAGGGGCCCCCCTCAGAAACCAAAAAAACAGTGTGATAAAGAGGAAAGTCTGACAGGTGCAAGTTCAACTCCCTGTCTGTGTTACTTATGACTGTGGAACAATAAGCACTTTATTTAAGTGCCAAACTTCTCATCTATAAATTGGAAACAATGATACTACTGTAATGAGTTGTTGTAAAGATTAGGTAAATAATAAGCAATGTGCTTAGGCTCGTGTGTGGCATGTGACAGGCCTTTCTCCTCTTCCTTCTTTCTTCTGCTTTGCCCAGAGATGTCTCTTCCTTTTTCTACTGTGCCTGTTACTTTCCTCTCCTGTCCTGAACTTCCCAGTTACCTCGTGTTGGATACAAAATTTGTTTTGTCCTCTAGATTCAGTTTGGTTCACTTTACTCCTTGAAGACAGCTCCAGCCTTCCCTGTCTCTGTTATCGGTCCAGGAGCCTCCCTATGCAAGACAGGGTAGGCAGGGCCATTGTCAGCTTGGCTTAGCTTAAGCGCTGCCCTGGCACTGCAGACAGATGGATTGAATTTGTCAGGACATCAGAGAAATGATGTTCTATAGCTCTTGCTTCTGTCACCAGCCAAGTTGCTTTTTCCTGATGGGCTTTGTTTCTGTCTTTTGTAGGTCCTCGTGCAAGCCATTAAGGAGGCAAAGGAGCAGCACCCAGACATGTCAGTGACCAAGGTGGTTGTCCATCAGGAGACCGAGATTGCTGAGGAATGATCTCAGGTAGGGGTCTCCCTGTGAGGTTGAGGATGCCCAACATCTCAGCCTGAGAGAGCTCTGGACAGGCACTTCGGACATGCCAGTAGCCCATCCCCCAAGGAGGCATCCAAACTGAGACTTGATGAAGTCGTGGCAGAGGAGAAGCTGATGGATTTCTCTGCTGTTCTGCTGTGCTCTCTGGTGCCACAGGTGTCTCTGAGCCAGATCCTGGGAGAGACAGAGGAGGACAAAGCCAAGAAGAGCAGGACCAGGCTATCTGGAGATAGGCTGGGCATGGGGGGGTGCTGAAGTTCTAAAGCCAGAGTAGAGAGTAGGACACGGAAACTGCTTTCTGGGAGCCAGGGATCCAGATAAATTCATGCCTAAAAGTAGTTTACAGATGACTTGAAGGATCACTGGGCAGGACTGGGCCCTGTAAAACCGCTCAGATCCTGATTGTCATTTATGGCCACAAGAACTTGGCAATAGAACTGGGAAGCTCTCTCCTTTGCTGGATTTTTAAATTTGCTTCTTTCTTTCTTTTAGGAACTATCCTACCCACCCCCCACCTTTCCCCCATCCAAGAGAAACCAGCAAAATGTTAATGAAGCTAGCCTGCAGTAGTCAGACTTCAGACTTGCAAGATTATTCTAAACCACCGGAAAATTAATCTCATTTTCTATCTGGAGTTTATACCAAAAGATTCTTCTATATACCACTGATCCTTTTGAAGATCTTTTTCTATACTGGGAAACCAGAATTGTTCAACTTTTCACTCTATGGACTGGTTTAAAAGAGTTTTGGGTTTTTTTATCGGGTGTTTGTAACCCCCATCAACCAAGCCTCTGCCCATTTATTCCAATCCGATACTGACAGGGTCCCCAGAATCCTCCGGGAAATGCTCCAGAGTCTCTGCCAGTTGCATTGGAGACAATGCTGGCTCAGTAGGACATCTGTGTTCCTCCCTAGCTGGATGTCCTTTGGATGACAGCAGAAACTTCATATACCAGCTTTTTCTCAGAGCCAATGATGTGACTTTGCCAGAATGTCAGGTGGGGCAACTGCTGTGATCCACAGACCCCAGAAGAATGTCCCTGACCCTTTGTTGAGGGTGGTTTTGTTAAGGCAGACACCTCTGCTAAGAATGTAGTATTGTTTTTCCTTCCTCCTTCCTTTCTTTTTGGAGCTTCTTTGGGTCAAAGACATAAGAAGTTGCTTCAGATATATCTGATACTGTGAATGTTTGAACATATTCGTGGCCTTCACCTCTCCAGCTACCCTCTTACCTCATCAGAAGCAGTGGCTCAGCTAAGTGCTCCCCCCAGCTTCCATCTCAGGAGACCAAAACTCACGGAAAAAAATAGGCACTTTTGGCCAAAAATGCTAATGAGACATTTTTAGTGGTGATTTGAAGAAGGAAAATGAATGAAGTTTTCAAAGTAAGGTTTTCCAGTTCTGGGAGTGTGCACTTCACATGGGATGGTGGAACTCACTTCAGTTAGATCCTGCCAAGCAGTATGTCCAGGTGACCACCAGCCTCTTTTTTTCATCCTGGATAAGAAGGAACATGGCTGAGAGGGGGGTTGTGTTCTTTGACGTTTCTTCTTCCAGTGGACACCTGCCTGAGGACCCCCCTTCTGGAGCAAGGGAATTGGCTTCAAGGAGCCAGCCTCCCCACAAGACACCAACGACAAGGGCACAGGCCCCAGCTCCGCTCATTCCCACTCGCCATCTGAGGTTGGTCAGGTTTGATAGGCTTGATTTTTGTGGTGGGTTTGGGACTTAGTTTTTTTCTTTTCTCTTGGTTTTTGAAAATGAGGACTGATGTCCCCAATTCAATAGGGCTTCTCTAATCTTCCAGCTTGCTTCCCACAAACAGACCTGCCAGGGGTTTCCTAGAATGCCTAATTCTAGCTAGAAGTGAACTTCACAAGACAGTCAGTGGGGTCAGGAGGGCTCAGAACAGTGAAGAAGAGAGACAGGTGGAGCCTCTGCCCAACACTGGGAGCCAGCGAGCCAGCAGCATGCATCGTTTCTAACAGCTGAGTTTCCTCTGGACTTGCTCTGCTAGTTAGAGCTGATCTGGGGCATGTGTCTATTTCTTTTGGTACTCATGTGAGACTTTGACTTACAGCCCAGGTAGGATGTGGGACAGGCTTGTCGAAAGAAGGTTGTCCTATCCCAGAAACAAAGGTACAGGCTGTGGGCAGGGGTCTGAAAAAAGGGGGCTTTCTGGGTGGTGCCTGAGCCAGGCCATATTGCCGAGTGGTGGCAAGTTGGAAATCCAGCTCCCATCAAAGAAGCATGTGGTGTGTGCCCACTCCCTGGCAGCCGGCTGTCCTGCGGAAGCTACGAGGGCTCACAAGGTAGAACCCTGCAGAATGAAGGTGGGGAGACGGAGGGCACCAAGCAGCATCCACTTTAAAATTCAGCATGAATACCCCATGCTGGGCAGCATGGCGGCTTTCACAGCACATGACCTTGATTCCGGGCCTAAGGTCTTCCCTCAGCTCTGCTGCCTGCTCACCTGTTTCTTTATCTGTCAGTTGGCCCAAAAGAACTCTAATGGCCTTCAGGCGTTGAGAAGCCATGATGTGGACAAGCCCAGCAACATGGGTGTCCTTCCAGGCTTCTTCCCCTTTCCTCCCTCTCTGGCAACAGATCTTGGGGCTTGGCAATTGTTTGGATTTTTTAATTTCTGCAGTCGTGTGTATGTGTGTGAAGAAAAACAGACTCTGTCCAGGTAGAACTGGTGAAGAGGGGGAGGAGAGGAACGTTTCCAGGGCCAGAAATTGGCTGCAGTTTTCCTGAAGTGACTCAGACACACCACAGTGACAACTCTTGCTGTAATTTTATTTTCACTTGAGAAATAGATGTCCTCCAAGCCACGAGGTCTCTGGCACCCACCCACAAAGCAAGGCCACATTTATAAGCCCAGGGGTTGGAGAGCCTCGCTGCAGGGACCTGTCAGGGCGCCTTCACCCATCCCCTGCCCAGGCCCATCGCTGTGTTGGGGAGACACTGGGCAGCTGAAGGTGAGGAGCTGGCAGTCTACCCTGGAAAATGGGCCAGAGCTGTGGCCTGACACCCCTGGAAGCTTGTGGGAAATTTCTGCCCAGGATCTCAGCCCCAGACTGGTTGTTTTTACAAATCTCTCTCAAATGTATTATTTTGATGACAAAAATGAAGGAGCTTTGTAAATTTTTTTAAAAATATGAAATCATATCAAGTAGTTGTTTACATTTCTTGACAAAATAGGAACTATGGCAGCAGAATCAGATTGGCAAAATCCTTAGATTAAATATAGGCAATAATTAGGTCTGCTGTTCTGGCCTTTTGTAGTAAGAGAAGTGATTGTAGTGTTTAGATAATGTGTTTGGTCTTGCTTCTTGTACTGCATTTTTCAATAAACAAAAAAAGAACAAAGGACTGACTCTGAGGATCGATCCACTTTTACATTTCTCCTAGGAGCCAGAAACTTGGGAAAAATTTAACATGGGTGGGGGAGACCTAACCTCAAGCCATTTCCTAAAGTAAGCTACCTACGCTGGCCAAAATGCAGCTTCAATGTCATATAAAGGGACTTCTGAGAACTGACGAATACTTTTTGCCAACTGGAGGGAGATTTTGTAGCATAGGCCACAGTAAAGTAAGGAGAAGGGGACTTCTCAGGCCTGTTTGCAGGCCCCGGGATGAAGGCATTGGCAGTAGTGTAGCCCTAGGGGATATGCCCTGCGTGGCTGAGGGAAGAAAGACTGAGGTGGCGGGAGTTCAAGGCTCCGGCCCCATCCCGGATGGCAGTGGAGGGTGTCGGCTCTGCCCTATCGCCCATCTTCCCAGGGGCCCAAACTCCGTCATCAGTGCCACCTTGGAGGAATCTGCCCTAGCCTGTAATATCCCAACCTACCGCCAAGTCTCAGGAGTCCCTGCCTATCGTTTTAGGCTTGTCAGGACACCAGGTGCACCTCCCAATCACGTTGGCTTGGACCTCCAGGCCCCTCAGGGTTGAGGCCACATATGGAGGCTGAAGAAATTCCTGAGGCCCAGTCATCCACACGCCACAGTGAAACACACCCTCTCCAGCTCACTGAACCCTCGAGCAGTTGGCATTTTCCTCTGCCCACATGCAGGCTGGGATGCCCTTAGCAGTTGCGGTGCTCAGAGCATCCATCCCCAGCCCCGGATGCGACTGAGACACCTACTACTAGACATCGGAACGGCTGATCCTCTGATCCTGCCACCATGGTCCATGCTGCAACCTCATAGCAGACTGTCCCCCTGCTGCTCAGACCCGGGCCCCCAAGTCTCCTCTCCCCAGTTTGGCATACCCCCCCAGACTGAGGCGGTCTAGCCGTGGCCAGCTCCGGTGAGCACAGTCCCGAGCTGCCGGGGCCCCAAGGAGGAGCTCCCCAAGGCCAAGATCCAGAGACTTGGAATGTTCGATGCAGGAACCAGAGGGCTGCACGGTGATGACGACGTGGCCAGTCTGGGTCCGTGGGCCCCAGGGTGGGGGCAGCCCCGGGCCCTTCAGCGGGTAGCTGTTGAGCAGGGCAGGTAACCCCAAGCGAGGATTAGCAGGCTCTGAGCGCAGACTCCGCACCGATGGGACGGGTGACGTACCCCGACGCGGGGACAGGTCCCAGATTTCTGGCTCTGCGCAGCCCACCGCGGCTCGGGGAGTCCTGGGGCCCGGGCTGGGAAGGCGCGCGCAGTCCCAGCCGGGGCCGTCGAGCGGCCGGAGCGCCTGGGCCCGCAGCACCCCCCGGCGGCGCCGCCGCGTCTCCAAGTCC